GTACAATAATAATATGTAAGTATGTATAAATGTTATTGGCAATTAAATTTTATGTTACACGTTCGTGACATACAAAGGGCTCGAAGCAGGATATGACAAGAGAATTCCTCATACTTTCAGTAACAGTCTGCAGATAACATTTAGCTCGATATTGTCATATGCGTCAGCAAACTCTTAAAAGACCTTCATAATAATCAATTACTTTTATTTTTATTACTACTTTCGTGAGACATACTTAATTATTTATTATGTTTTCCGCTTACTCACGTAATTGTTTCGATGCCATGCTAGAGGCCCAGCATTGCTTGAAACCAATCGAGTACTAAGCAGCTTAGTAGCAGCGCGACAGTCGCCGCGTCTGTGTCGCGGAATGCTTCTCATGAATATGGGCCTCTAGTCTACCAGTAAAACAGTACCTACTAGTGAAACTAGTCGAATATCTCGTCAAAACAATTACGTGAGTAAGCCGAAAACATAATACCGTAAGTTCGGGTTACTTTTACCCTGGGAGGTAACTTTGATCCAAATTTTCGAACCAATGAAAAACGAATATATGTTTGGTTCTCAGTTATTATTGGTAAAGGGTTTGGGTCAAAGTTACCCCGCAGGGTCAAAGTAACCCGAACTTACCCGGTAATTAATTTCTTTTAAAACGTATTTCTTAAATAAAATATGCCAAACATTCTCATCTACAAAATCCTCTCGTAAACTTTTTTTATTCAAAATATTAAACGTTCTTATCTATAAAATCCACTGATTAACTAAAGTTATAATCCACTTGTCTTTCAGCCCTAGTTCTGGTTCTGTTACTGAATGAGTAATTTGACTACTGTAGGTATTTGAGTAATTATTTATGCAAATACCTAAAATCCTATATTCAAACCTAATCTTATTTGTGTTTACTGCGTAGCGTTAAGGACCACTTTTTAATTACACAAAGGACCACTATTTAATGTCACAAAGCTGTCGCAACGCCCACTTTTGGTAGTTACAGTAGTTCGCTAGGTACTTTTCATATCTACAAAGATAATATTTTATAATTTTCATAACAAGTATAAAACTAATTCCAACTTACCTATTCATAGTTATGCAGCCGTGAAAAAATGAGGCAACCAACAAAACAGGGTTCAATAGTTCACGTTAACTACGAAAATAACAGAGTTCAATTTCAATTTCAATTACCTACATTTAACCACAAGTAGATTTATAACAATAGGTAATAGACTTTTTTTGTGAGGGGAAAATCGTCAAATGACTTCTTCTACTCAGGGTTCGGCAGGATGGAGTGTCAGCCTGTTACTGACAAAAATCCCCCCGTTCCGTCTCCTGCTCTGGACTGAGGCCGCAATGACTCATTGCGCTTACCCCGCGGCTGAACATTAGCCCCCGTCCATAGTAAGTTGTCTGAGTGTGAATGGGTTGGGTCGACTTGAGTGTTATACCACGGCTTCAAAAGAAGCCAACTTGAAACAACATCGTTGTTATTCGCCGTGTGAACAAGGTTACTGGAGGCCCAATCTACCTCTTGGAGAGGAATTTGTGGATTTACGGTGTAGTGTATGTGTGAATTTCCATAGGAGATTCAGTAATAAATGGTTACTCCAAAGGAGCTGTGTTTCGCTAAACGCCCAACCTTATAACGGATTGGGGATGGATGGGGGAGGGGAAGGATTGGGCCTCTGGTAACCCCACTTACACGGCAAAACGCAACTCTGTGCTTAGTTTTCAAGAAATATTAAAATACTTAAGTAAATTTTTATCGATTCGAGAAAAACCTAAATTCTACGCTGGTAAATCAAAAGAAGAATACTAGCAAAGTTTAGAATAGTTTCATGACATCGCGTCATATTTTATAGTTCAAACAAAATTTTCCTATACCTGTTATGATAGCTATAAATAATGATAACATACAAAAGAGATTAGAAGATTTACTACACAATTACAACGATTAAATGTTAACGCTATCAATAAACCGTTTGCACGGTACCTATGCTAATATTTGGAGTTCTGTTTTACATACATACAATAGCTAAATAAACGATATGATAGATAAGCCGTTGTATCCTAGTATATTAATAATGCTGAACTAACATTCATACAATATGTGAAAACAATCTGTCTCTTTATACTTACAGATTATTCTTTTACTACAACACTTTACTTTCTTGAGGTCGTGGTGGCCCCGAGGTTAAGGAGCCCGCTTCTCATGCATGAGGGTGTAGGTTCGAAACCTGGCAAGTTCCAATGTGACTTTTTCCGAAGTTATACGTATGTACTTTCTATGATTATTTAGACACCACTGACATACGGTGAAGGTAAACATCGTGAGGAAACCTGGACTTATAATTTCTAATTATAAGTTTGAAATCGCCAACCCGCATTGAGCAAGCGTGGTGATTAATGCTCAAACCTTCTCCGTGTGAGAAGAGGCCTTTGCTCAGCAGTGGGCACTTATAGGTTGATGATGATGATGATGATGATTACTTTCTTTGGAACAACCACAGTGATGTGAGTGAGGCTACCGTACGATTATTCCTCCCCCTCATTTGGTCCCAAATCCCCAAATGTTCAACTCCTTAAGCCCAAAAAGGTCGGCAATGTTCAGGAAACTCCTCTGATGTTACGGGTGTGCATGGTCGGGTGCCTGTGCTTGCCATCAGTGATCCACCTCCACGAATACCGATCTATTACATAACCACTTTTACTAATTGTCTTATAATTACTATCCAGATTACCCGTCATAAATATCAACAGCTAAAATGGGCTCGTGTCATTTATTTTCTTCGTGCACTGTCGCGTAATTATTAATTAATTAAAGCATTGCATGTCCAGTAACTAGGTTCGTACTTAGATACGCTACTGCTCCAATACTTAGGTAAACTGTAGAATCCGACTTTACGATGTTTTTATACACCACTAGCGAACCGCCCTGCTTCGCACGGCTACCCGACTATCTCGGTGTCAGTCATTTGTTTTCTTTCCCCGATATTTCCCTTTACTTTCCTATAATTTTCTTTCGTAAAAACCTTCTTTTAATAATAAAAAACATAACAAAAAGAGAATTGGCAAAATTGGTCCAGATTTTCAGTAAAATTCGGCACCTAAATGATTGAGTAGGTACTTTGTTCTGCTTTGTCGATCTATTTATTTCTAAAAGGTAACATGAACATATAAATATAATATTCATCTATACTAATATTATAAAGAGGTAAAATTTGTAAGTTTGTATGTTTGTAAGTTTGTATGTAGGGGGTAAACTTTGGTACGGCTGGTCGGATTTCCAAAATTCTTTCGCTGATAGATAGCTACAATGTTACTGAGTGCTATAGGCTATCAAACATTACGCTACAAGTAAATGGAGCCGAGCAGCGAGTGAAACCGCGTGAGAGTTGCTAGTTAATTATATTAAACCAGAAACTACAAATAAAACAAACAAGGACTTCACGGCGCAAAGGGCCTTTGCTGATGAGGCCCTGATTTTATGAGCACTATGTAATTGCCCGTATGTTATTTCCATATAAGATAATGAAGAAGATTTATTGCCGCTGTATGGAACACCATGTTTAAATTCCTCAATCAAATGATATACTTATTTCGTCTATCTTAATTCTTATTATGATTAGTTAACATTCTGAAGGAACCTTTACTAAAATTGTTCTACTTATTTCATCAGATACCTATCCACTTCAATATAATTATAAGTATTTTATTTTTAAAGAAAGTGAAGTCACGTTGTTTAGTGCGAGCTACAAAACTAAGAAAATACATGACGACCAGAGGAGTTTATTTCTAAAGAACTAACACACAATTGACTTTTCGGCATAGTTTCTTATGCTGCTATTGATTTGATGGATTGTCATTTGTTCAAATATGTATGAATGAACTAAATAGGTAATAGACGCCGTATGTAAGCCAATTTTTTTCTGTCTGCGTCTCAATGTAGACATGTGTAAATTAATTCAATCACCAGATGTATATCGACGTACTTACTTTACTACGGCCAATACGGAGCGACACAAACAACACAAAAATGCGGTACACGTGGTTTTTATTTATCCTCTGATTGGAGACATAACATTGAATGTTAGGAAAAATATGTATTTAGTTTATTATTCCGCAATTTTGCATGTTACATTTGCTGCATGTGCATATGCATGATTGCATAGGAGTGGGATTGCATCCTGCAACAAGCCTGGATTTTGTCGCGGAATAAAAACTAAATATCTTTCCAAACATTTAATGTCATGGATTTCCGAAAAGTATCGCCTGATTCTATAAATGACATAACATTGTTTTGTTTATATCTGAATAACTCACGGAATAGAAAATACAGGAATAACTAGTAGTAGTAGTGGAATAGAAATCTTATAGTGCTCAAACTTTTTCTTTGTATTCAAAGCAACGCCAAGGTTCTCAATATTTAACCTATTTTTTGACTAGGGGCCTCGGGGAAATCATGAAATGGTGTCTGCCTTGCCTTGGGTGCTGCATGAAGAAGCTCTTACTGACTAAAAACCACCCTGTTCCTCCTTCTTGCACTCTCAATCTCGCAAAATCATAAGCCTGTATTGTCATATAAGTAGCCTTACGCTACTTTTCGCTTTGCAGTGTCGACTAACAAGAATTTCAATGAATTAATTACAATAGCTTTATAAATGACAAGGGCAATGAAATAAATGAGGCTGTTAGAAAATTATTGAGGCAATAAGACACTTTATTAGATGTGTCGTAAATGTCTGTTTATTTCTCATATAAATATAGGTACTTAGGTAAATACTTATAGTTACTATGTAGTTACAAATGCAAGTACTCAAAGAGTTTGTTGAGAAAATATAACTAGTATTCTTCCAATTATAACCGATCTTCCATAAAACAAATAAGTAGATAGGTAGGTACTATGCTATAGGACCCATATAATTATGACGTTACAAGGCATACAAAATTCGTAAAAAATGGTTTTTCTTGGTATATTTTTTTTAGTGTAATCCTTTTTCTTTCAGGTCTAGGATGGTACAATATCAAATACTGCTTAATATTGGCCCTGTTCCTAATATCAGCTATAGTGGAACCAGTCGGCTACTCCTTTGTGCTACCAGCAGCGATGTGTGATCTGGACATGACTGATGCACAGAGAGGATTTATTGCATCAATACCGTACATAGGTAAGTGTGTCAGTGTACGAAAATATAAAAATAAGTACAATAATAATATCTAAACATTTAGCTTTCAAGTGGAAAATAAGCGAAAGAGGCTAGTATAAGTTACATTAACATGTATTGTGTTGTGTTAGTAAACCAAAGAGCATATAACCACAGGTCTAACACTTGGACACAATTAAATGGTTACTAGTGCTACCGAGGCCTAGACATAGGCGACAAAATACTAATCGTTTTCTAGCGGCGGGGCACTGTCTGTATACGCCGTCAAGTGGTTATATTGTCATTGTAGTAAACAAACTTTTCCTTACTTAATTATTGATCGCTTACTCAGTCACTAAGCAAAAAGTATTTTTGTGTCAAGTCGTTATATTATAACAATTTTATCTAGTTCCGTGCCTCCTACCTAGGTATTTTTATACTCGTAAGTACCTACGTGCCGATAAAATTCAACATTAAATTGATAATTAGGCAGTTTGTTATCTTTTAAATACGTATCTGTTAGTATCTAGAACGTCTTATATCTTATACGTGTACTACTTTTTTTAGAACATGCTATTTTTATTTATAACTAAATCAGCAACAATCGTGTTGCGGTTTTCTCAGAATTGTAATTAAGCGATTGAACACTTTGTTTCGGATTTAGTTAACAATGGAAACACTTAATCATTTCGCATTAAATTATCTTTTAAGAGTTTATCTTGGTTATTTGTAATTAAAATGTATAATTTCTAGATAAATTACGTAACAACACAATAAATCAAAGGTTATACTTTTTTTGTGAGGGGAAAATTATCAAATGACTTCTCCCGCCCAGGGCCGGGCGGGTGGGAGTGTCAGACTCTTACTGACTAAAAACCCCCCTGTTCCTTCTCATGCTCTGAGCCGAGGTCGTGGTGCCTCATTGCGCTTACCCCGCAACCCCGGCTGAACATCAGCCCTATAAAACCCCGTCTGTGGTGGTCGAATGGCTCTTTGAGGCGCGCGCGGAACGCTACGCGCCGTACGCTCGGGTCTGGTTCTGGTGGGGCGGCGAGCTTCCCTTACTCGCCGACCGCAGACCCGCGCTTACGGTGACCGGAGATCGGCCCTAGAAATCAAAGGTTATGCTAGCGGCTACATTTATTATATGAAGATGCGTATCTTATAATAATTATCATAGCCTATCATTGAGTCTTTTGATTATAACACGGTCGAATGCATTTTGTCACTTCTGCTGTTAAACTGCTGGGCAGTCGACTTAGGTTACTTTTTACTAGGCATTTTTTTCCTAAAAAATAAAACAAAAGAAAAATGATGTACCGCCACAAGGTTCGGAGCAGAAGAAGGAATGGGGTGAATTTTATCCAGTAAAAGTCTAATACTTCCTTTCATTCTACCCGTGGTGGGAAAAGCCATAAAATGATTTTCACCTTTAATACCTAAACATAAAGATTAGATAGACACGTATAACACCAATAATGCAGGTAGCATAAGTTGCATCATACCTAGCCGCAACGCTCTCGAATAATCCTAAACCTTTTAGATTGCGATGTCCAGCGACGCCACCGAGGAATATCAGAGCAAAGGCTTTTATGTATAGGGATAAAACAATAAATTTGTTTTTGCAATATAATAAAACAATAATCTAAAATATCATGGAACAAATCTCTGTGTTACTAAAAAGATACTAGTCCGAATCTTGGTGTGATGCGTATGTAACTTCCATGTTTGTAAACGTATTTACACATGACACCGAAAAAAACTCTAGACCTTGTAGAGCACAGTATAAAAAAAAGAAAAAAAAAAGACGCACAGTTAAAACTCATTGTTTTTTTTCATCTGTATCAATTGGATCCATCAAAGTTATTTCACCTTCTTACAGGCATAGTGGCCACATCGTTTCCCTGGGGTTTTCTGGTCGACACCCGAGGTCGGAAGAAGATGGTCATACTCGCCTCCTTAACAGCTGGAGTCTTCGGCATATTGGCTGGTTTCATGCCAGATCTAATTACCTTTGCAATCTGCAAATTCCTCACTGCACTTTGGTAAGTTTGCTAAGTTACGTAGAATCTATATAGTCTATAGATTGCTCTAAGTTAGGAGCGTACGAAAGTAAGAAAGAACAATAAATTGAACAATAGAAATAATGACTAAATTTCATTTAATGTTTGCGTCTTTTAGATTAGGTATTTCTAAACATTGGACACATTTTTTTTTCAACAATCAAATATTTACCTGCTTAATGTTCTTTATATTAATTTGCGGTAGTCACGACTATACTTACATTTAATTTTTATACTTACTGAACAGTGACTTAATGACCTCCTCGTTTTCATAGACTATAGAATAAAATACAAAACTTAAAATACAAAACTTAAAATACAAAACTTGTCGAATATTCTTCCATTATCTGATTAACTGACGGACCTACTAAGTAGGTATAGGTACGTACCTATAGTAGTATATATTATTATAATACTGCTATATATACGTCCTATATCTATAGAAACCTACGCATATTATTACGCGTACTTAAACGCAAATTTATTTCTGACCGAATTTTCTAGACGACTAACTACACAAATAATCTACATGTGTGTGTTATTTTGTTTCTCATATTCTAATAAAATATCTGTCTCATAACTAGTTACATAGACGATACATATAGGTACCTAGTTACTTACATATTTTCATAGTTAGATAATGTATTTCTTACAATCTTATTTATCTTAGTTAACTTCATTAGGTACCTACTACATACATTTACAATGTAAAGCCAATAAAATTTTCTCGTATGTTCTTATAATATTTCAATGTGTTTCTTTCCACCTTAACATGTAAATTACTGTTGGTCAGCATAGCCTGTCCGGCGGCAGTGCCCTACACGTTCATCGGTGAGATCCTCCCCGCCAAGAACAGGGACGTCATCCTCTCCATCACCAACTCTCTTCAGATAAGCGGATCAGCTTTAGTACCATGTAAGTATTGAAACTTTAAACCATAGTATTTAATTGCAACAATGACATAAAGGTTAATTTACATTACATTATGTTCTTGTCAGCTTTTTTTGCCCACTGCACTTATATAAGCCGCGCGTAATTAGTCGTCTCCAGTTTAATCATTAGAACCGCTAACGAGAAGAAAATATTTGTGTTCCCTGGCTGCCTTAAAATGGCGGTCTTAAAGATCCAAGGTTGCTTATGGACTAGCGTATTGTATCGTAGCTGTCGCATCGTCGCTTTCCACTAGACGAGTTAGGTAGCTAACCCATTAAAAAATAAAGACTTGTCTATGGTTCTAATCTTAAACTCGTCAGTCAGTTTCATGCTATATTGTTACTCTATAATTACGCGGTATTCATTAAAGAACACAACATCTTAGAAAACAAGAAGGTAAAGTTATAATTTAACAAAACAACAGACGTCAAGGAAAACCCGCAAATTCATTGATTTAAACATCAAAAGATCTGAAATCAATTTTCCTCGAAACCTACAAAATGTTTGTATTGATATCATCACAAGGAAGTGATTTCAATTTATGTAATACTAAAGGTCCGCCCTTGCTTTGCACGAATTTCCAGTTTCAACCTACCTCGGTTTCAAGCTTTTGTTCTAGGTACTAGCGAACCGCCACAGCAGGTACTTACCGTAAAAGGTCGCGACATATAAAGACAGGTGTTCCATTCCCTACTTTAAAAATACCTTTGATAAAAATCTTCTTCTACACAACAAAAAAAAAATTAGCGAAATCCCTTTAGCTGTTCTTAAAAATTGCGCTTGGCAACGCGTCATATATCTATATTATAGATAAATACAACGCCCACTCCAGAAACTACGTTATCTCAGTATTTGAATGACTCTACAAAAATTTAAAATAAGTGCTAAATAATGTAATCATGATAAATTAATGAAATTCGATTCGCCTCCATGATTTTTATAACTATGTTATTCGTTTTTATTTACGAGCACATTTTTAATCTTACCAAATTATCAAATGGTTCACTGATTGCTGCCTTATGTATTGATATACTCGTATCATTATTAAAAAGCAAAAATTTTAAGATATGTACTTAGATAGATCAGTGGCGCCACTTAGGCCTCAAGGATCAACACAAGATTACGTTTTAATAATTTCATTTTACTGTTCACGATGCAAGATCGCATGTTTTAAAGATGCTAAGAGTGGCGTGTGACCCTTGTCACGCCTGCGATGTTTTTAAGTTGTAGGTACAAATTGTTAAAGACGATACATTTAAAGGTAAAAACTATACCAACATTTAATCAAATACAATTTAATTTTCCAGTATTAGCCTGGGCAATATTGCCACTCGACTTCCGGATAGACTTCGGCTTATACCTCTTCAGACCATGGAGGCTTCTAACTATGATATATGCAGGCTTTTACATATTGGCGGCTGTTCTACTACTCTTTGGTCCAGAAAGTCCAAAATACTTAGTATCTCAAGGCAAAATGGATGAAGCACTTAAAATTCTGCAAGTGATGTATGCAAGGAATAAGAAAAAAGCGCCTGAGGATTATCCGGTAATAATAACTACTTAGAAATAATTTAGTATTCTAAAATCCGGTTTCCGAAACGCCGATCAATGTTAAAATCAATTTAATCTCTTGTCGAGTCATCTGATTGGTTGACTGAATTATCAACAACCAATCAGATTTAACAGGAGATTAGTTAATTTTAGCGTTGACAAGCCTTTCAGAAACCGGGTGTTATAGAGACAGTTTCATAATGGCTGAATAGCCAATAACCAAATTATTTTCAATACCGAACGCAATTTATTCTCATGAACTACATGGCAAATAAATCTATCAGGGACCTACATGAGATGGTAATACAGACGCTAACTGGGTTTTTCTGTTTTTCAGATTAAGCGACTGATCGCTCCCCCTCGTGACACGGAAAAGAAGAGTTTTCTAAAATCGTTAAAAGTTCAAAGCGTTCCATTAGTCAAACCGCCATATTTGAAATGGTTTGCGCTAAATGGGTTCCTTATGTTCGGAATCTTCTCAGTGTAAGTTTAAAAATATATTTTCCATTCTAATAAATAACAAGATCTCAAAATAAATAGATTAAAGATTCTGATTTAATAAAACAGGATTAAAGACTTAATTTTTCAGATTAAAGACATAAGTTGATTCGATTGACAGTCCGTGTTCCCACATTTATATTGTACATTTTTAATCATACTTAGAAGCTTATTACAGAAGCGATTCACTGCAAAATGTTATCTATTAACTGCAGATTTGTAGGTATGCATATTAAGGACAAAATTTTATTTCGTTTCAGATTAAATGGTCTATACATGTGGGTACCAGATGTACTAAACAGGGTACTCACTGGTGACGGCGAAGGCAAAACAGCTTGTGACGTCATTTTCGATAGGCTGAATCAGGTTAGTTACCAATTGTTTTAATTAAAATTTTCTTTATTATATTGCTCTATCCGATAGTTTCCAAGTTGTGAAATTCAATTCTTATTTGAAATGTTAAAAGCGATATCTAGTTTTCTATGAATTTGTATTATCTCGCAACAAATACCATCAAATATCATTGTTATTTCGGAAAAAATTGGTAAAAACATCTAAAATTAAAGTATATCGTCCATCCAATAATAAATAAATTATATTTTAATAATTCTTGGTCCTGAAAAAGACATTGTACCTAAGTAACTTTTACCCAGAAAACTCCCAATTGTCTAACTCGCGTAGTACGAAGCATCATTTCTATAAAACCACTTTTTCATTTCATGAACTCTTCTGTTTCAGACGGTAGACGCGGACGCCGAATGCGTGGATACTATAGAAAATATTACTTTTGTAATCAATTCAGTTGCTAACATAAGTTGCGCTGTATTATCAGTGGCTGTCAGTAGTACAGTCAAATTCATAGGCAAAAAGAGACTTCTGATATTATTATACTTCGTCATAGGAACATTCTGTGTTCTCATCAACTTCATAACTCAAGATATGCTTTTTGCTGTACTTCTATCATCTTTCCCCATCATGGGTCTGGCTTTGGGGCCAGTTAATGCCTACGCCGTAGAGATCTTCCCCACGAATTTGAGGTAAGTTTAGTAAACAAATGTAGGTACTTATCTAATACTGAGCTGTTCAATCAAATATCAAAAAAGAATTTTGTATCAAACATTTAGAACGAGTCCGTCAGGAATATTGACTTCTTGATATATGCGACAAGCCGGTTATCAATTATCAATTAAGTATCAAATATCCAAGAATACTTTTCTCAACTCCAAAACCCATCTTAAAACCTCCTACCGTGTCAGTTTAAACAAAGTACCTTTTAATGAATCGTATATTAATTTTAATTAAGTACCTAAGAACATTAGGTATTACTGTTGGTTGGTGCTTGCGTAATAAGTGGGTATTAATATGTACATAATACATGTCCAATTATAAGTACAAAAATCATATTCCGTAACATTCTTATAATATGCGCATACAACATTATTATTACCAACTTTAATCTACAGGACAACATATTGATACCAACTTTAATCTATTAGAACGAGATCTGTATGCAGATTTGGGGCCTTTTGCTGTACAGTAGGCCTACCATGAAGTGTTAAAGCATGAATCTTTCGGGCGAGAAAGAGGAATGGAGTTATACACCTTTTATAAGGCCCCAAATCTGCCTAAAGACCTCGTTCCAATAGATTAAAGTTGGTATCAATATGTTAATGTTCTATGTGCATATTAGAAAGTTGCCCTCAGATTTCTAAAATCTATACCTACAAGAATTTTCTTAATCGTTAAACATTTTTCGTGCTCCCACTTTTACACTACCAACGACAGCTACGCAGTCATTGATTTCTTTCTATCTATCTACATTTATCTAGGAGTATTTACATAATACATCTTTGTTTTTCAATTACAGGGGCATGGCCATTGGTTTGACAATGATGATTGGGCGTATCGGATCTATTGTCGGCACCAACGTTGCTGGGATCCTACTTAATGTATTCTGCGAACTGACATTCTATCTTTTCGGAGGTTTATTACTCTGTAAGTATGTTTGGGTAGCATCTGCTGTATTTTTTAAACTACCATAAGTGACAACAGAGATTGTGGACCCATCTAATGTTAGCGTAGTTACCGTAGTCATACAATTTCACATACACAAGCCACCCAGACCCGGAACAACAATTTGTGAATCACACAAAGAGTTGTTCCGTGCGGGATTCAAACCTGCGACACGTTGCACTGCAGCCAGTTGCCCAGCCACCGCACTAACCGTGCAGCCTTTCGTGCCTCCCATTCGAAAATATTTCAAATCCTTTATATATTTTCTAAATTAAATATAACTTTAATTTGGAATAGTGCTAGTTTGGAGTAGTGGATAATATAGGTAATTATCATAATATATAGTACATGGTTGGTTTAACTGACGTATTTAAACAGTATAAAATAAACATGTAGCTTATTAATAACTTTTTACGCTTAATAAATCTAAATAGGTAGGTAGGTATCTAATTTGATAAATTATATTATTATGCTGAGTGCATACCCGTGAAATATTTTTGATTTTATGCTTCCATTTCTAATAATAATTATTTTTATTTCAGTTTGCGGTTTTCTATCGTTCCTGCTGCCAAGTTCTCGAAGCCCACCTACAAATAAAAAAGTTCAACAAATAGAAGATACCAGACTGTGAAACTAGTACATAAATGTATTACGCAATAAATTAAGTTTTGTATATAGTCTTCAGTCTGTTCATTTAAAATAAGTAATCGCACAAGACGTCCTTTCTTGTTACCTACCTAACTACACCTATTTTTATAAAATCACTCAGCGCACTGTGGAAAGGGCGTTGCTCAGTTTTTCTATGCGGAATCAAATGAAAACTGAGAAGATCCGCAAAGTGCAAACAAACTTAAGTCGCTAACATAGTCGAGCGTATTAACAATCTGAAGTGGCAGTGATTGGGCACGTAATTACGAGTAAGCTATTTTTGAATGTAAGTAGGCCGGTATCTTCAATCCATAAGGTTTACTGTAGATGAACTTAAAATGTTGCACCCGCTGGATGGAGTTCACATTCTGGTCTGAAAGTAATTTGGGGAAGCCTATGTTCAGAAGAGTGTGAGAGAGCCATGCTTCGGCACGAATGGGTCGGCTAGACCGGTGTGATACCACGGCCTCTCAAAGATAAAAATATAAATGCCCCTAAATCTCCAAACCCCAAATTCCCAAAAGGTCGATAACGCGCTCGTAACTCCACTGTTGTTGCGGGGCACGGTGCGCGGCGCTGATTGCTTACCATCCGGTAATCTGACTGCTCGTTTTCCGACCTATAACATGAAAAAAAGAAATAAGTTCTTAAGTGTCTTTGGGAATGTGGCTTATTTATTTATACTTTATTGCTCACATGATAGACAAAGGTGCACAAGGCTGACTTAATGCCATATAACATGATCTGCCAGTCAATCTTAGGGTTAGTGGAAAATCAGCGAAACTAAGCTTATAATATATGTATAAAGGTATTGTTAATTTGAATACTACTAGAATGATTTATTTTATGTTCTACCAAAGTATTATCTACCAAATTAATACCCATTTAATTCTATAACAAATTACCATTAATTGTTTTATTATTTTATTAAATATACAAAAGTTTACCTTACGAAAAAGCATTTTCAGACGTCTATGACAAGTCTACCACAGACAATTTACATGACATTGAGAACTTAAATGACAAGATTGACAAGGTATAACAATTGTCAAATGTCAAATCAATGTCAAGCCACCAAAACATTTTCAAATGTTAAAGTTTTTATCCTAAAGACGTGCAGTCTTATTAATTGAGAAACTCGTGAGAGATTTTGCCCGAAATAAATTAATAAATAATGCACCACGTAGACTCTGACAGTGAAGATGAATTACCTTCTGGGTGGGAGCAAAAATCAACAGAAGATGGAAATGTATATTTCATAAAGTAAGTTGCCTATTAGTAAGATATCTCCGGTAGATAATCTTAGTTTCTCTTAATTGATTAACAAAAAACGTTTTGATCTTTGTACTCTAGTACTTTGACGAATAAGACGCAATGGACACACCCAAGGACGGGACGAAAGAAAGAAATACCGAAAGAGCTTCCTTATGGCTGGACAAAAACATTTGATGATGAGAATAAAGCAGTCTATGTACAAAAGGATACTGGCACTAAAACTTATGTGGACCCCAGGTTAGCTTTTGCTACGGATGCAAAAGAACATGTTCATGATTTTCGTCAAAGATTTGACGCTTCTTCCACAGCCTATCAGGTCAGTTAAAAATTACTCTGATTGTCACTTCAACTCTAGCTAGAATTTGCTAAATTATCTGCTACATGACTTTCTATTCACCATAGTTTATGAATGCTATAATCTTTACTGTTTTAGATGAATGTAAACTATTGTATTTATTAACTTTTTAATTCATCAAACCCCAAGGCATTTGTGCACCTATGGTTCTACAATTGTGTCTCAAATTACCATGATTAAAAGGTTAATTAAATGTTTCCAGATACTTCATGGAGTAGACTTATCAGGAAAAACCGCACTTATAACAGGTTCTAACGCTGGTATTGGGTTTGAAACTGCCAAATCATTAGCAAGACATGGATGCAGTGTCATATTTGCTAACAGAAATATGGAATCAACAAAAGAAGCCATTCAAAAAATCCTCCAAGAAACGAAAGCATCAGAAGACGACTTGAAAGCTGTACATTTAGATTTATGTTCCTTTGAAAGTGTAAGGAAATGTGCAACTGCAGTAAAATCTATGTTTTCCGAGTAGGTATATTTATTTTATTTAATTTACTTCAAGTAATTTTTGTATAATATGGTATAAAAAAATGATAATTTTCATCAGCCATACAGTATCTATAAGATATGACTCATATGACATATTGACAAATAAAGTATGCTGACTAAATATTTAATAATATACACTTCTGCATACCCTTTCCAAAACTATAAGTCCATACTTAGTATTTATTTTATTATAAATTTTTCCAGTCGCCTTGACATGTTAATTCTGAATGCCGGCATTTTCGGAGTGCCATACACTGAAACGGAAGACAATATTGAGATGACATGCCAAGTCAACCATCTTAGTCATCTATACTTGACTATATTATTAGAACCTCTATTAAAAAAAGGCTCTAGGGTCATTTTTGTATCATCAGAATCACACAGGTATGTAAATTATTTGGTTTTAATAATGGAACTAAAAAGAAGAAATATGGATTAAAAGGAATCCTTCTTTATAACATTACTATACAATAGTACTTATATAATAATAACAGAACATATTTCACTTTTATTGTATTGCCTAGCCTTTCTTAAAAGTTAGGACATAGTTACTACATTTTTAAAATAAGTTATATATGTTTAATGTTTTATATATATAATATGCATAATTAAAATGTATTAAAATCAATTCTAAATATATGTTATATGTATAGGTGAAATACTCAGTAATTGAATTGATTTTTCAGGTTTGCTAGCCTAAAGAATGTCTTCAATCTGCAGAATCTTGCATTTCCTAAAGAATCCTACAGCTCCATGATGGCCTATAACAACTCTAAATTGTACAATGTCATAAGTGCAAAGGTGAATATGAATCAAAATTGTATCTTTTCCAAATATGTGGTAATGTTATATCCACAGACACAAATGTTGCTTTTGCCCGCGCCTCCGTTCACATGGATGACTGACTTTCTGCAGATTTTTGCTATAAAAACTATCCTATGTCCTTTCTCGAGTTCCAAACTATCTATGTACAACTTACCAAATTTCACAAAAATCGGTTCAGTATTTTAGGCGTGAAGAAAAGACAGACAGACTGTACTTTACATTTACTTTCGAATTTATAATATTAGTTTGGATTAAGTGTGACCCTATTTCATGATATTTATAATAAAAATTGATATAAATTTGATTAAAGCTTTTGATTAAAGATTTATATTTCATTAAAGCTATTAAAAATTTCAGGTATTAAGTGAAGAATGGAAAAACAGAGATATCTATGTGAACTCCTTGCACCCAGGTAACATGGTGTTCACGAACCTGAGCAAGTCATGGTGGCTGTTCAGATTAGCATTTGCACTCGTCAGGCCTTTTACTAAATCTTTGGTAAGTAAAAATAGCCTTAGCCCACATTGAATATGGGGTAAGATGGAGACCCAATTAATTTGAAACATAGAACAGAATATTACTGCATACAATATTACAGCATGCGTTTACATATGAATGTAAAAAAAATCGGGCCATATTGGACAAAAATGTCTGATAAAAACACACTTTCGAACAAGTCCGGTTTGATAAAATAGAAACAAGTTTTCCACAATCATATTATACTATAGTGTAGCAAATTTGCTGGGTAACTGCGTGATTCTAAATGTCTTTCAGTGATTTACAAGTTAATTATAAACAATACCTACCAAACAGGAGAAAAAAAAATGAATTATTTATTGAAAATAATTGCTTACTCATGTGAATTTACTGGAAAAAGTCTACAAGTTTTTAATCACAACAAAGTGCGTAATGCGAGTTTGCATAAAGTGCTTTACCATGATCAAAATGTTTATGAAGCTCAGCATTCTGATTGGCCTGCTCTAAGTAGAGCGACCAATAACAGAGCTACGTTTCGATCGCTTTATGGTTAGGAAAACTAGCACTGTCCACTCTGTGTAGCACTTATTCACCTCTTATTCATAAGTAACTTGGTAAACTCAGTAAATTCACGTGATTAAGTCGTTAAAAATAGTCGTAAAAAATAATTCAAATAAACTTTATAAAAAACCTATTTTAATGTTACAGCAACAAGCAGCCGCAACCACCGTATATGCAGCGACAGCCCCTGAGTTACGAGGTGTTACCGGCCTTTACTTCAACAACTGCTTCTACTGTGAAGAGTCAGCAATGGCGCGTGACAAAAACATTGCTCACGAAATATTCGCCTTGTCACTAAAAATGATAGCAGCACGTGTTGGCACTGATGATTTGAAGAAATACATGAACAAATTCAATACAACACAATCTCTTAGTAAAGAGCAAAACAGCAATGTTGACGAAAAACAATCAGATAAAAAGGAATAAGTTAATATATTTTTTTAGGTTTGGGTCTGGTTAAGTTTAGTTGTTCTAAAACATGTCAGCTTTGTAAGTTGATCATCAAGACAAAAAATCAGTCTCTCTTGAATATTGAATTTTGATATATGTATTTATACAAAAAATCTTAAATTGTATTAGACCCCAGCCACACTACGGCGGAACTGTAGCGGTTGAGGACCGTGTTACATTTTATTGTATTTTAAAATAATGCGTGGAACAAAGTTTTAAGTGTGGGAGAGCCATGCTTCGGCTCGACCGGAGCGATACCACGGCCTCACAGAACACAGAAAACCGGCGTGAAACAACCACAGCCTTGTGTTTCACCGTGTGAGTGAGATTACCGGAGGCCCAATCCAAACCCAAACCCAATCTCCAAATACCTAATCCCTAAAAGGTCGGCAACGCACTCGTATCTCCTCCGTTGCTGGTGCCCATGGGCGGCGCTGATTGCTTACCATCAGGTTATCTGTCTGCTCGTTTGCCGACCTATAGCAAATGACAAAATTGTAATTTAGGCCGCTTTTCCGTCGAAATTTACGCGGTCATGGACCGCCTGGTTCCACCCTAGGGCGGATGGGCCTTATATTTTTTTCCTGAAGACTGGGTGTTTCTCTACTATTTGTCATTACATAGGAATGGTTATTGCTACATTTTTTGTGTGTGTATTATAATTAATTTAAAATTAATTGCATTGTGCATACTTTTTATTTTTTTGGTAACGGTATAAATAGCTACTTTTGTAAGCAAAAAGTGTTTATTCAAATACCTTTGGAAGGCTTGACGTTTCGACCTGGTTGCACAGGTTGTGATCGCAATCCAACTGCGCCCTGCCACAGGGTATTTCAATAATTACTTTTCGCGTTATACCCGCGTTATAATAAATGAAACGCGTAAGTTTAAAAGTTTGTATTTGTAAGCAAATTCCCTCCGTAACAATTTTGGTTTGTCTGTGACAATTATACTTTTGTATGTTAACATTCCTCTATGCGCCTTGCTGTTTGTGACAGGAAATAAAATGTACCTGAAAAGAAAAGTTTGGATAAAAAGTCAAATCAGAGATTTTATTTGTTATATTATATTATACGTAAAAGGTTATCAGAAAAGTTTAATACAATATGTTATTGTTTATTGTAATATATATCACGGAATGTAATCTACACAACATATTTATATTTTTAATATTGTGTAATACAATAAGTTACATAATTATTTAATATTAGACTTAGACATGACATGTATTTGATTCACTAAAAAAATATATTTATTATTTTTAAACTTTTAGTTTATGTTACTGATTTCTTTTGGGAGACAGTGACCAAATGACCTATAAAACTGCTTAAATAATCAGCCACAGAATATTATCTACTTTCTACTTGAGGACATGTTGTCGAAGGAGTGTATAATAAATCTTTTTTATACTGCATAAAAAGTCTTATTCTTCTTATACCTGTACAACTCCCATAAGGTAGGATCTATGTTGGATACAACTATGAAAACTGCGCGTCCTGCAACGGCGCGTCCCTTGGAGAATTTCTTGATTTTACTAGACTTCCCTCGCATCTCGCGCGCATGTATACTGAGATTCCCTCGGTAAATTTATTACAGAAGAAATAATGTTATAAACGCACAAAAGAGACCGCATAATTTAGGAAAAGTCCAGTCACCAAAAAAAAATATGAGTTTTATTTGTGAGCTGACTTGTTTCCAGTAATAGACATGGCAGAAACTATTAAATACACGGATAATGGTTCCACATTGCACGGGTTCCATAAAATAAAATACATTTGATGTAACATAATTATAATTTATTATCTAACATACTGTTACATTCGTATTGCCAATACGAACCGGATTCGATTTCCGAATCAGGCTACCTATTGAGTGTATTGAGTTTTCTATTAAAAGACACCCGGGAAAATATTTCAAATATTAAAATAAATATCATGCAATGGAATTTCCAACATAATTTAAATACAATTTAGTAAACATTTAAAAATGTAGCCTTCGAAGAATAATATTAACAATAGTTTTTAAAACTATCGCTTCTATTAGATAATTACACAATTTATCTCAATCTCATTATCAGTCATCATGGTCATCACCATCTCAAAAATATCCGAAACCAAGAAATTGTCTACACGATTTTTTTTTTCGGCATTTCGGGTATTAGTGTTTTTTCGAGAATATAGGCCGTTTAAATGTATGTTTTGTTTTATCTGTGGAGTTAAAACATGGCGACTGCGACTTTGACATTTTTATGTGTCAAGGTAAATAAATTGTCAAGAAGTATTGGGTAGCGAATAAAAATAATTAATAAATTGTGATTTAGGCAAATGTTTTATTGTTTGTGTTTTAATTGAATAGCATTCCGTTATATAAAATTTATGCATAAAATATCAAAGTTATGATAGGACTTCTTAATGTATCAAAATATAGGCTCAACGATGCTCGTTCGGACGCTCCTAACGGTCGTAGAATTTCCTTTAAATCATAGAAAATGTTCCAAGAATCTAGAAAATAAGTAATGTTGTTGTTGATAATGGTTGTGTGTGTACTTAAAACTATAAAAAGTTAGTGATTGCGCTCGTCAAGATGGGGGATAAGATGAATAGAGAATACTTCGAGCCTGGGGCCACAGCCTTCAACTACAATAATGTGGTAAGTTTTATTATATTACTTAACTTTTACTTCTTAACATTGTAAAATTACTAAAAAGACGTTTGTAATTATTATTTTAACAGTATTTTTGACTAATTTCGAATTATTTACCTCCCTTTTCTACAATTAATTTATATATAACTTGTTTAAATTAAGCTGTAAGTGTGCTGTACCTCGTACTTACCTGAATTAACCTTGGAGCAAGCCTAAACCACTGAAACAAAGACATTTGCTTTATTTTGTATGTATTTTGATGTAACTTTCTGGATTAATTTATAATTTTAAAAGACTACCCCCCAGTGAGATAAATATTCTTAGTTCTGTTTCCATTGACAGTGTCATGTGAAAGTCAGCTTTAGTGCAAATGATAGTAATGTTGAAAATACTACAATCTATAACAAGACCTCATTTTACTTTATGCAACATTCAATAACTATGTATAAGGTATAACAGAATTCTGTATATAACAGAAGATTGTTATAATAATATTAGATAAGCACTTCAGCTTTCAAATAAAACCCTGCTTGATTGGACTCATCATTGAGCGATAAAAAAATGTGATGAAATTATTTTTTTTTCCATGATAGAAAAATAATTCAAAGAGGACAATTAAATAGTTTTGTTCAGAAATCATTGAAACAAAAATTTCTAGGTCTTTTTTGTTTACAAGGAAACTACTCCTACATATTATCTTTAATTGTCAATGGTGCTGGCTTAGTAGAATATGACTTGTAAAATTATTGCAGTCACCTTGCAGATAATTGAATTATCTTTTAATTAAATATTGTAACAAGACATATAGCATTTTTGATTTCTCAACTACGATACGAACTGGTGGACCCTTAGGTTTTTTCTGGTACAATTTTGTTTACATGTAATTGTTTTTTATGTTTCTTTATAAAATTCTGAAAAGGGTGTAAAGTATCAGAAAGAATTGTTACAGAATTAAAATATAAGACATGTTAACACTTCAAAAGCGATTATTTTATGGCCTGACAGAAAAGGGAGGTGTAAGTGACCAATAAAATTTTTTAAATTACAATATAATAGCATAGTTAGGACTTATTAAATATTTTTAATAAATAATAAACTAAATATTGGAATTAAATAAGTGACTTAATTACCCACAACATTCTATCCCCTTCTTTTTTTGTGAGGGGAGAATCATCAAATGACTTCTCCTGCCCAGGGTGGAAGGGAGTGTCAGTCTCTTACTGACTAAAAACCCCCCTGTTCCTTCTGCTCTGGGCCAGGGTTGCAGTGCCTCATTGCGCTTACCCCGCAACCCCGGCTGAACATTTGCCCTATAGGTTTTTGTGAAATAATTTTAGTATATGAATAGAAAATTGTCCACAAATTGGTTTTCAGTTTGACTGATGTAAACTTAGTTTTTAAATGTAGTGTTGTTGTGTTTCCCTTTAAAATTATCCATGTCAAAGCTGAAGCCGCTTAAAATTGTTGACAAGAGATTGAGGTTGCCTACCATGTAGAACATATATTATATTCATGAAAATGATGATAGTCTGAAACGTGTGTTCTTAAGCTTTTGCTTAGTATATAGGCTAACAGTTTAAACTACCCCAATCCATCAATGTTTTTCATTGGATTTTGAACTTTATATCTAAAAAATCCAGCTGGCATCGGCACACCAAGCTTAACTGTCGGCTAAGTTTCATTTATGAGGGCATGTTAACTTGCACTCTGTGCTTTAAATACTCGTCTAGCTGATGAACTGTTGCCTTACCTTTAATTTACCTTACCTCAGCACATAATAGGCACCTAACATACTTTACCTGTTTCATTCTATAGTTCAGTATTATTGTTTGCATATAAAATATGCATATGTGTAAAAAATATATAGTTACACACAGTTTTTTTCATACCCATACATTAGGTAAGTATTAAATTTATTGTATTTTTTGTTGTTCATAATTTACAAAAAAGTTTTTTATTAATTTTAAAATATAAGAAAACAAATAAATTCTTTACTAGGTGATGGTACATTTTGTAAGATTGGACCATAATGTTCTATGTCTAATGTAATGTGTTACTTGCAACATAAATATCACGGTTCCAAGGACCTGTTCGCAACATTAAGCACGTTAAATGTATGTGGTTATTTACCAACATGTTGGATTACAAAATGAATAAGAATATTTGAATTAAACATTTACGTAGAACTCGTTCAGAAACATATCGCGTCTCCACCTTAAATGGCGGATTCCGTAAGATTTCGCCATGATACGGCCAACGACCAATGTATTTATGTAAAATTATTGTTGATACGCAATGGCCTTTGAGATAAGAACAAAATATGAACTTATCTTCCAAGCAATCAAACGTTAGGTTCCGCAGATTCGTGACACGTCTCCGTGATGTTTTATCAGCACCTATTATATGAATATAAAGATGCAACACCTTGTATAGTGTAGAAAGCAATGTGAAACTACATTCGCGATTATTTACCACATGTTCTGCACATGAAGTTGAAAACGTTTTGTAAACATTTTAATTAGAAATTATTGTTGTTGGTTATCCAATGTTTGCACTGTGAAAGTACGTGCAGGCTGACTAGAAATGCTGATCATATTCAAGTCGCATGCTCTTACGTACACAGACGTTATTCTTTGCCTGGTTCCGAGTGCTTCGGCGCGGGAAGTTAAAAAATAACACGCCATTGTTCACAATTTTCTATTTTACCAACAGTTCGCCGATGAACAATAATAGTATCTTGATCCCACGACGAGACAATGCGATGTGGGCCAAGCAGCTGACACAATTTAATTTGCACGAAACGCCACGATACCACCAGCGTATTAATTGTGCAGTAAAGTAATATCTACTTTTTACTCCCACGCTTCCACCTGTGCGACGCGATCGTGTATGCATCCATCTACGTAGAGTTACTTGTTCTGTGTAAATAACACATTTACATAAAGATGGAGCCTCGCCACATAAAGAATTCGCGCAGCATCTGCCACGGCACAGCTGTCGCTTGTGTTGCAAGAACTCACTTTATTCGGAGCCTGTATAAAACTTGTCTCAAATAAACCGACAAAATGAATTATAATTCGTATAATAAATTGAAGTCTGCGTAGCTTATTTAAATGTCTTGTTTGTATTTATCATGTACTTACCTAGTTAATTTTACTTATACAGAATATCTAGACTTTGATAATTTGTGCGGTTTAAAAAAAAAAACCGCTCTCCTATGTAAGGTAATCATTATGTGTATGTATTGTTTAAAAGTTAGTGACGTTACATTCTCACTCTAACCACGAAATGAACAGGCAGAACTTTCTTTAGCAGTAATTTGGCTTTTGTAACAATAATAAAGAAAGATAAACGATTTTTTATAGCGTCTAAGGTCGCATGTTCAGAGTATGGCTGCTGTCGGTACCAGGGTACCAGGGACGGTGCTCGCGTGAATCGTCCCCTCACTACGAAACTAACATTTTGTGTGCCTCGACAGAAAACCGAATTGCCTCAACAAAAAATGTTTGAATACATTTAAGCGAAAGTTGTAGGTCACAGTAGAACGTATTTAATCCATTCCCTAAATATATTTTTTCCATTTCACCACCAATATTATTCAAATCAACAATAAAGTCCGTTGACATCGATTCAGCTACGAATTTGGATTTGATGTTTTTATGTTATTCTTTCAGCCTAGTTCTAGATACATATTTAGATAAACGCTCAATACATAGACAGCATGATCTTCATAGATTTAAGACAGTGTTTCGTGTACACTCGATATTAAAATTGTATGAGGTACGTAACTACCGATCGCGTGCTTGTGGCAAAACCTATCTACCTAGTTGGCAATGTTCAATGTTCGGCTCCGTCAGCCAGTCTGTTTCAGAGGGTTGCGAAATATTTGCAGCTCGCGGGTCGACCTCCACGCTTACCATTGTTATTTATATATATATATATACTTTATCTTCAAACATGTGTAACAGTGTACCGTGAAAGAAGTACGATGAAAAAAGTCTTGTTCCCAAAAAAGAAAGTGAGGAAAACGGTTCGTGTTGTAATGTAATGTTATAGATAACGTGTAGGTGCACTTAGCAAGAACATTGCACGGGTAAGCTAATCAGATACATTATCTCATATTATAACTTGACGCTTGTCCCGCTTAGTAACTGTGTTGTATTTTGATTTTGATTGGAAAACTGTTATCTTGCGAGTTACTTCTGCACAAAACGAACAGTCGCAGTATTGCGCATTAAAGGTAACAAAAACTTAATGCTCGACAAATATTCAATTTGCAATGCAGGAAAGACCTGAAGCAGGAAAACAGTTTTAAAAATATTGTTTTTTTTACAATATTTTGCTTGGATTGTAGACGTGCGTAAAGCATACTGCTGTCTGTGACATACCGTCAAGCATTGAGCTTGCGTCATTCGCTCTTTCTAGTCCAATCGCTTTTTTACCTTATTTCGATTACATCAACTAATTTCGCGTTACATCGATACCAGAAGCTTTGTGAAGATGAAGAATTTCCATTAAATCGTAATGTTCATTTTACGCAATGTTATAATAGCCTATTGACGGGTTAAGAAGTCTTCCATCTAATCAGATAGTTATCTTTGACAACTGATATCGCAACGGACAGTTCCATCTCGATACAATACACGGTGTTACAATAAACAACAGATTCTATTAATACATTTGCCCTTCTGACAAAGAATACATGTCGAAATGAATCATCTTGCCAGGCTTTCCATTATTTCTCAAGTTTTAAGAACGCAAATTTAGAAACGTAACCTCTATTTATCTATACTTAAATCAACTTTTTTATATCGTCATATTATTGTTTAAGTCCGAGGTCCACCAATCACGCCATTAAGACGAGAAACGAGTTGCAGCCAAGTTAGGACCGATTACAGATTTTAAACACTTAATTACCGTCATTACTAATGCAACAATGGCAAAGTCTCTAATAATTATTCTTCCTTGTATATGGCTTCTAAGTTAAGATTTCTAACCGCACAGTC